TGCCTATTTCTCGTTGTTCGCTTTGTGTTGCCGCAGCATTCGCCACAATATATAAATAATATTATCATTTAAGCATAGTATTCTGTTCCTGTTTCACTTGAAAAAGCTGTCAAATTGCATATAAAATTTCTTTCTGCGAATTAAGTGTGAAATTCCACATTTCCTTAGCAAAGTAGTATTCTGTTCACGAAACAGCTTGCAACATGTAGGCAACATGAAGGTAGCAACACAATTTTCATGACGTTTTTAAATACACATCCACATTTTAAATTGTGTGAAAGCTGACAGTTTATGGAATTATAAAGTGGTTGGTCTTGGCAAGAATGTAATCCCTCAAGTTTTAGCTTATAATGGTTCTAGGGATACACTCTGCGATCATGTAACTTTTCAGAAAGTGTTGCGCCCGTTTTTCTGTACATATGTATTTCCATTGGAAAAGTACCTCATCTCAGTATTCTAGGTAAATGCTTCCAGAAGTATCTATGCGTCACCAGAATTTTAGTTTATATGGCTTATACCGCTAGCTCTTTTCAATGGCTACGAGATCATTTTCATATACCCCCATTTTTCATAGGTTTGGGATTGGGATTGGGATTCCAAGTTCTACGGTACCACACCGCATTTTTCCATGAGCTTGAGATCGGCTTCATATATGTACATATATCCATACCGAGTTCCAGGACTCTACCACAAATAGAGATATGCACTATGAAAAATTCGGTTTGTGTGGGAGGAGTTCCACACCCCTTTTAGATATCGGGTTTGTGTTAGCCTATAACCATGCTTGGTTAGTCTGAGTCCGAAATTTCAAAAAAATCGGTACAGCCGGTATAGGCATTGTAACCCCTCAAGCGAAATGAACTAATGATTGCAAAAAATGAAATTAGACATCGAAACAAAAAAGAGTATTAGACTTCATTCTCTCAACTTCTCAGAATGTAGAAAAGCTAAGAAATATATAATAAGATAGGATATATTAAAACAGCCTCCAAAACATTTACTAAAGACGCCCCTGAACTACACATATCAGTTTGATTGAAAATTTGTATTTATTTCTTTATTTATTTTATACTTATGTTTCCACGGCAAGTGATTCGCTTTCCCATTCGTAATTCGCTCTCTCATTCTCGATTGGCGCTCCAATTACGAACCGAATCACGTAATTCGCCATACAAAATTTTGAGAGCGAATCACTTCATTCGTAGGTGATTCAGATCCAATCACCATGCGAATCAAGAACAAATCGTTGTCTTCTCTAATTTTTATCGATAACGGCTGTCAAAACTCATAGACCACACACATCCCCACCAGCACAAACATTGGAAAAATAGCTAGATTCGTTAAAACTATTGATTTAGCTAATCAACCACTACACATTTGTTCTCCACCGTTGAAATGCACAATAAACAACACATTAAACAATAAACAAAAGCAAAGAACAAGAAGCAGAGATGCAAAGTGAATGAAGAATGTGTCGTAGAAACAGGTTGATTCGCCGTTCCTAATTGGGAGAGCGAATCACAGGATTCGGTTGGCGTGGAAACGCCCTTTAAGTTGTTAAAAATGTTCATAAGAGGTGCTTTCCTGTACGAAACGCGGGATTCCGCCGGTGCCCAAAACAGCCCAGAAATCATTCCCATACGCAACAAAATGCGTAATAGAGAGCGAAAATTGGAACGTATTGGATCGTAAGTGTCTTAAAGCCTGATTATGGCAACTTAACTTAATTTAACGGAACGTAGAACTTAGAGAATCAAAATGAAACAGATTTCGACGTGGCATTAAGTTACGTTAAGTTTCGGCTGTTCAATTACAAGCAACACCCATTTAACAGAATTTTTAACAGAGAGCCATAAGCTCCGTTAAGTTGCCATAATGAGACCATTATTCTTCATGCACGAAACAGCCCGAACTTTTTCTCCGGGTAAAAATGATTAACTGTCAAAGTGCATATCAGCTGTTTTGTGTTTACATGTCGCCTGAATTTACTTAGTGCTTTTAAGGAATCACGAAATGTAGTTTTTTGCGTTTCCGTACTTCTGGACCACGTTCCGGATCCGGTCCGGATTGTTACACCATGTCCCCACCAAAATGTTAACCAACTCAAATCGAACTTAACCACATCACTAACTATTGTGGACAAACTAAGTGTGGACAAACTTCGGTCTGAGATTTATAAAACAGTACAAATGCAGAGAACAGTGTTCGGTAACGAAGTTACTTTATTGACGCATTGCTATGAAAAAATTACTTTTTAACAGTGAGATTTGGTTAACTTTAAATTTTTATACTGAGACCGGTGGTGAACACTCAAAATACGGCCCCAAGAAGGCATAACATGGATGAAAAAAATTGAATAGATTTGAAGTCGAGCGGAGTAGAGGAGTAGATTTAAAATTTTTTCAAAAACCTGGTAAATCTAATCTAATCTTAATGAAATCCAAACACTAGTAGGGAACGAATTTTTTTACATTTTTACACTAATGACCCACAGATGGCGGAAAAACACAGGGTTGTATCAGACTTTCGACGTGGTTTCGAGTTGGTTAGCTTTTAACCATCTCAGTGAAATCGTTAAGTGCTGTCATTTTTATATGGCGAAACTAGGCTAAATCAAGTGGGTTATCGGGATAACCAACTCAACAGCCATAACTACGTGGTTAGCTCGGGTGGGGACATGGTATTACGGAAAGAACCTAAGAAAAAACAATCCACATGTTTGCTATCAACATTTAGAAAGTTGAAATGTTGCGCAACAATGTTGCTATCTCATGCAGCAAGATGCAATAATACAACCCAGTAGATAATTTCAGGAGTTGAAGAAGCGCACTAACGTCCATGGATCTGACCCGGATCTGACATCGTGGTGTTGCCAAATGCATGCGCGACATTGCCCTTACGTTTCGTCAGATGGGAGCGAGACTTAACCGTTGTCTACGTCTGTGAGTTCCTACGCTTCCGATGGGCAGCCGGCGCCTGCAGCACTGCGAGGGCAAGCTCCCCGAAGAACGCTGAACTCGTCTGTACCCTGAAGGTTCGAACCGGATTGAATTTTTGTGTCCTGGATCGCCGCGACTGAGATTTGGTTGCGCCTCATGAAATTGACTTTTTCAGCGATCATAGTTTGCAGCCCGTGGCAATTAAAGTTCAAGTTTCAAGTAGCTAAAAATTACCTATGATTTTTTAGATTTTTTTTCGAGGATATTGCACATTTTGTTCCATATAACGCATGGACAAAATATGTACATATGTACATATATGAAATATTAGGATATGGGTAACAAACGAAAGAGTGTTAAGAAATATTTAGTATGAACATTTATAATATTTTTGAGCTGTTTGAAGCGGGCCGTAAGCTTTTTAAAAAGTTAAATTAGAATTAGTCAATAAGTTGAATCAAAATCAAATGTAAAGTTTGTTTCATTGTTTCTGCTTTTTTATACTCGCGGCTCATTGCTCCTATGCGTGTATCTTTTCATTCACATATCGTCGTTTAAAGTACAAAACCGCGTATCGTCGTTCTGCAAAATCGCGTAACTGACATTTTTTACCAAAAATTGATTTCAAAAATTCAGTGAAATGTGCTTAGAGAAGAAGTATGGGTATCAAATTAAAGACGAAATTCTGTAGAATTTAAGCAGATTCCATGTTTTGGTGCATAAGGACTGGTAAGTATTGAAAATGTCCTTTTAAAATTTTATTCTTGAAATTTCGCAACATTTGTTTTTGAAAAAATTATATGTTAGGGACTTATGTAAACTCGATAACATCCACAAATTTCGTCCTTCTGACTTTATCAGCTAAACAAATTACCTATTCGTCCTTGTGAATCCAAAAAATTTTTATTTTTTAATTCCAAAGAAGATTCCTCTTGCATTTGGTACCCACATTTTTATTCTAAATACATAGCACTGAATTTTTTAAATAATTTTTGGAATTAATCATAGCTTTGAAATTACGAAGTCCTTTAAAATAAAATCTGATGTAGGAGAGAACAAATAAAAACGCCACCTTAAATTAAAAAGTAGATTTCAAACCCATTTATTTATCTCATACAATATAGAAGCAATTTATTCGATTTAAGTAATGAATATCTAAATCCCGGGACTAATCCCGGGATTCCGGGATTGTGATAACGACATCCCGAAAAAGCCGGGCTCGGAAAAAGGTGAAAAACTAACATCCCCATTATATACATACATATATTTATGTGAGTGAGTATGAAAATTTGTTGCGAATTCGCGAATTCCAAAAGTGAAATAAGAGGTTCTCACCAGTGTTGCCATTTTAGATGGTGAAATTTCGCTTTAGCCGGCAACTGATTTGTTAGCCGTTTTGTAAAAAAAAAATTGCCGATTTTAGCCGATTTTGCTATTTGCCTTGTTTTCTTAAAATTCAAATATATATCGTCACTAGACACGAATGAAGGCGCGAGCTCAAAAGTTGACCGCGAAAAAAGGCGCATAAAAAAAACTTCAGCGAAGAAAGACTCTTAACATAGTCGACGGCGAAGAACAACGCGTTAATACCTTGGTTATAATGCAACTATGTTTGCGGTTGTAATAGTATGTACATTCCGTAAAGAGTTTTTTGGCGAATAATGCTGAAGTGACAGTCCTTGGCCAAGTATAAATCTATGATTACGTGTCTTTCTTCGCCGTCAACTAGGTTACGCGTCTTTCTTCGCCGAAGTTTTTATTAAGCGCCGTTTTTATACCCGAGCGCACTTGTGCACAAGGGTATTATAACTTTGTTCACATAACGGTTGTTTGTAACAGGCAAAACGAATCGAGATAGATATAGACAAATGTATACATAAATGATCAGAATGAAAAGAGAAATCGATTAAGCGGTGACTGTCTGTCCGTCCGTCCGTCCGTCCGTCTGTGCACACGATAACTCGAGTAAAAATTGAGATATCTTAACGAAACTTGGTATTTGCACTTCTTCCGGGCGTAGGACGGATGGTATTGAAAATGGGCGAAATCGGACAATAACCACGCCTACCTCCCATATAACGGTAATTTTTTAAAATACGAAAACTGCGATATTTTAGTAACTACTGAAGATTATTCACT